CTGTTTGCATGGTGCTGGCATGTGGCAGAAGAAGGAGCCCCGTGCAGTTGGGAGACCAAACCAGTAATTACACTCAGCAGGACCCCAAGCAAATCTGACTGAAGCTGGAAGGGAAGTTCCTGGCAATTACCGCCCACCCGCTACCTATTTTTCTGATGCTAGTCAGCCATCAAGCTTTTCAGCTCAAGCAGCTATGACAAGTAGACCCATTTGTATTGCAGTCTACTCTACCTGCTCCAAAAGATACAGCACAATTCTAAAACTAAGAATCTGGTGATTGAAAGAGAAGCAAGCAGGAGGGAGGGAGGGAGGGAGGGAGGGAGGGAGGGAGGAAGAAGGAAGGAAGGAAAAAAGGAAGGAAGGAAGGAAGGAAGGAAGGAAGGAAGGAAGGAAGGAAGGAAGGAAGGAAGGAAGGAAGGAAGGCTAAAATGGGGGCTTAATCCCTACATGCATTCAGGACAGGAAGCATTGATTGTGGCTTTCGTTGTTGTTGTTATCTGCCTCCTTGCTAGTTCTGTGCAACCTTCTCAATACCAGTTGTGTTTGTCTCTTGTCCTGATTCAGTTTATAGCAAGTCAGTCGTGGTACCATGTGAGGTACAGAATGAAGGGATAAAATATACAAAATGCCAAGAACTTTATATAAGACTGAGTCATATAAAAAATAAATTTTTAGATAAGCCCTGATTTTAAAAATTACAGATGAACCATGAATATAATTCCTCTTCTTTTCCCATCTCCCAATGCATATCTCTTTTACTAGTTTCCTCAGCCCACTTTTTGCCTACCAGATAACCAACAATACTATGGCAGCATGCCATTTGTTTACTCCTACTAATACCCACAGGGGAAAGAATAAGGACATCTATTGTCCAGTCCTCAGCACTAACTTCACTAATCCAGCATTGTGGACTTCGCCTGACTGTTTTAAAAGGCAAATATCTGGTCCTCATGAAAATATTTAAACTCTGTAAATAATGATTGGGTGTTTTTTTTTTTCAATCAAATCAATATCTGGCTAAATAAGATTTCTAGTAACAGATGGCATTTTCTTGTTCTACTTTGTTTTTTCATAATCAGCCAGAACAAAACAATTTATGATATTATAGGAGCAAATTCACTTGGATGATTTGCTTAAACTATAGCAATTGCAGAATTTATCTTTTCATGATACTGAATTTATCCTGTTAGAAAAAATAAGGGTGGACAACATGATTCTTAAAGAGACTTTCTTTGATACCCACCTACTTTTCCTTAAAGTTTTTATTATTTTTTAAAAAGGTAGCCATCATTTAGTAATCACCATTTGCATTGGCAACTTGGTTGTTAAGCAAAGCAGTCACTAAGTGAAACCACAATTGTGCTTAACATCTTACTTCAGCTTTTTTTTTTGCTTTTCAAAAGTCATAAATGTGAGGATTGGTTGTAAAGTTACTTTTTTTAATCACTGTCATAAATGTGACTGGTCACTAAACAAAGCAGTCCCTAAATCAGGGCTACTTGTATTGAATGGAAAGTTGGCATGCTGCAAAGTAATATATCAACTTCAAGCATCATCCCTAAAGCTCCATGGGCATTATTAGAATTCGGTGACAACAGACATGGCTAATAAAAAGTATGCCCTGTTTCCCAGGAAGATAAGAAAGGGTGGAATGATAAAGGGCATTGTTGGATAAGTAGAGAAGATGACAGGAGTAGGGAAGCTCATTAGCCTGTTTTCTAGTAAATGAGCCTTTGTAGACAGCCATAAGTCACAGTCTTTTTGTAGACAGCCATAAGTCACAGTAAGGCACACAAAACCCCAAATAAATCTACTGAGTTAAAAACATTTCCTATCCCTCAACTATCTATGGCTTAGATTGCATGGTTTATTTGTCAAATGTATTCAGCTTGCTTGCTGATCTTGTCCTGCCAATATTGGTGTCTGTTTTAAGTGTGATCCTTAGCAGATAGCAATGCAACTCAATTTAGGATAGGCCCCCATCTGGATGGCCTACTTATATTGGACAACTGGCAAAATTTTTAGCTATTCTGATTGGAAATATTGGGAAGTGTTCAATATTCAAGGTCATGTTTTGGAACATAACCTGGAATATACCTTATGTTCAGGTATATCCAGGAGTGAAATCCAGCAGGTTCTGACTGGTTCTGGAGAACTGGTAGTGGAAATTTTGAATAGTTCAGAGAACCAGCAAATACCATCTCTGGCTGGCCCCAGAGTGGGGAGGGAATGGAGATTTTGCAATATCCTTCCCCTGGAGTGGGGTCCGAATGGAGATTTTGCAGTATCCTTCCCTGCCCACCAAGCCACACCCACCAAGCCAAACCACGCCCACCAAGCCATGCCCACAGAACTGGTAGTAAAAAAAAATTGGATTTCACCACTGGGTATATCCAACTAACCCATGAATATTTGATAGGGTTGATTTATGGCTTTCTACAAAATGACAGGGCCATTGGGTGTTCAAGGGGTAGAAAAGTTATTTATTTGTTTGTTTATTTATTTATTGGATTTATATCATACCAATCTCGTCCAGAGTTACTTACTTACTTACTTTCCTTCTGGATGTCATTTTAAGAATGTAAACCATGGGAAATGTGAAACAAGTTTCTGCTAAAGAATTGTGTGTGTGTGTGTGAGACCTCATTTTAAGGTGCTAAACCAGTAGTCCTTCTGATGTTGTTGAATTATAATTCTCAACAGCCCCAGTCAACATGCTGATTGTGAGGGATGCTGGGAAATGCAGTTCAGTAATACCTGAAGGGGCATGGGTTTTTCAGCCCTGATCTATCTAAATCAGGGGTCAGCAACCTGCAGCTCACCCCTCTGCTGTGGCTCCCTGTCACTCAAAATATGCATCACAACCACCAATGTGCGACACCCACCGGCATGCAATTTATTGAGCTTTTAAACCCCGGTGGGCCAACCATGGATAAATCCAAGAAAAGAAAAGTTTCAGAAGAAAACATAATGTTTAATTCAATTACATATGCTAGTTTTGTGGCCGCTGAAGAAATAGTCAGGCATGGGAAGGGTTTTGTAGCTCCCAATGTTTTCTTTTCTGTGGGAAATGGGTCCAAATGGCTCTTTGAATGTTTAAGGTTGCAGAACCCTGATCTAAATGCATGCACTCGTTTGATATACTATATACTATAACTGCCCCAAACTGAACCTGAAGCTGCCATTTTTAATCTTTAATAAATGCATCTGATCTCTATGCTGGCATGCACAAATTTAATTCAACCTAGGAAGTAAATCCAAGGATAGATGGATGTGTGTGTGTTTGTGTATATGCATACATCAACACAATCTGTCATGCATATCATTCCAACAAGATAGTAGGAAGTTGACACACAATTGGCACCAATCCCTGCTTTGAGTGTTTGCCTACTATTCTGATATGGGGCTGAGGGTCATTAAAGGTCATCCATAGGGAGCAAAAATGAATTAGGGAGAGTCTGAAGTCTGTGGAGCCCATGACAGCTGAGGAATGAACAGGCAAGGAATATTGGCCTTAAGGACACACTACAATAGAGAAAAATGTAATGACCACACAGTAAGTGTGATGGCTATGCCATCACAGCCCCTTCTATACATTTTACCATCAACAAAGAAAAGTAATCAGACTGAATTGTTCCTTTTCCCAAAAACCATCACAGGGCTCTCTGGATAAATAAATTTGACATCGTCTGACCCGAATGTAAGTTAGGACAAACTTCACCAAGTCTATGACAATTCACCAAGGCTAACTTGCCACAGCCAACTTGCCACGGCAACTTGCTGCAGAACAACTCACCAAGGCCATCTCGCCACAAGACCACTCACTGCAGGACAAGAGTTACACTAATATCAAAGAAACGGTGGAATAGAATCATTAAAGAAAGGACAAAAAAGGAGGGACAGAATGAAATGTGAATGGCACAAATTAAAATATTTTTAAATTTATTTTAAATAATGAAATAGAATTGCTACATTGTCCCACTGCAAGTTGTCCTGCAGCAAGTTGGCTGTGTCAAGTTGTCCCATTCCCCTTCCTGCCTGGCTTCTCCAACTGATGACTGTCAGTACCCAGTCTTTTGGTCTTATTTGCATGAAAAGAATATCAAAGCTGGTCCTTTTCATAATGCAGACACTTTCCCCCTCATTCCCAAATAGCTTCAAAGAAGCACCCCATCAGTGCCTCCCCTCTTTGGCAACTTCTCTGGTTTTTTGGGGGGAACTAATGAATTCCCAGAAATCTAATTTTCAAAAAGCCTTGTTAGTTTTTAAAGTTAATTAAATAATTATTTTTTTTGCCAAAAATAATTTTGTGGGAGGGGGTGGGGTGTTTGAGTTGATGACTAGCTCCCATCAAAACTTATTCTGATAGGGATCATGTAGTTCCAATCAGTGGTGAAATTTATTTTTTTTTACTACCGGTTCTGTGGGAGTGGCTTGGTGGGCGTGGTGTGGCTTGGTGGACATGGCAGGGGGAGGATACTGCAAAATCTCCATTCCCACCCCACCCCAGGGGAAGGATACTGCAAAATCCCCATTGCCACCCCACTCTGGGGCCAGCCAGAGGTGGTATTTGCTGGTTCTCCGAACTACTCAAAATTTCCGCTACCGGTTCTCTAGAACCTGTCAGAACCTGCTGGATTTCACCCCTGGTTCCAATGCTTTTCTAGGAGATGGTCACAACAGTCTCTGTATGAGTCATCTCTCTCTTTACTCACTCCCACCATTCCCCTAACCTGAGATGATTCGTCTTCCAAGTTCCAGCGTTTGGGATGTTTGAAACTCCGACTGCTTTGTGGACCCAGAAACTAGTGAAAACGCCGAAGGATTCTTTTAAAATCCCTCAAACTGGGGCGTGTCGTTCCGGCTGGGTCTTCTTCCTTCTGTCCCCAAAGGGGAGGAGCTCTCGAGCCGGCTCAGCCAAGCAGAAACCGCCAACACTAAAAAAAAAAAAAGCTTTCAAAAGTGCCAGGATCCCAAGGAGGAGTTCGCTAGAAACAGGAAGGAGCTGCTCCGAGGACTTGTGGTTCTGAAAAGTCATTAGAAAGTGAATGCGGGTGTCTAACTCCAAGGCAGGGCTGAACTGAAGGATCGAAGCTGTTGTTTTTTGTCCCCAGCCCAGTGAAAGGAACAACCGGAGAAATCGAAAAGGGACGAAAGAAAAACTAGAGTTTGCGAGGAACAGCTGCTGCTTATAACACCGGGAAGGAAAGGAGCTGGCCACGGCCTCTGGTGCTGAAAGGTTGGGCCACGGAGGAAGAATGTTTGAAGACAACTAAAACACTCTAAGATCCTTAGCTGGCTTCTGCTCCAAGAACGGAGTGAGTGGGACACGATCAAGATTTCCCTACGGTAAGTTGGTGGAAAGATGGAACTATCCCCCATTAGAGATCAGCTTGAAGGCAATGCCAAAAAAATCTCCTCTACCAGCTGACTGAAACGGGGCTGTAGGTTAAACTAAGTTTTAAACTGCTGCCTGCATAAATTCCTTTTAATAGCGTCCCTTTTACCCTCTGAAATAGTGTGTAATTAAAGGCTTTAATGCATTCCCATAAGCAATCTTGACTGTGAATACAAAAGCAAGCTAAATGTTAATTAACTTTTAATTAATCCACATTATTCAATGAGTTAGAGAATAGATTATGTTTGAACTTTATCCCAGACAGCAATGGTTATAATTAAAATCAATTAGTGCACATTGTTTACATGCACACAAACACACTGCCCTTAAACCTATATAATGATGCTGTCTGAAGAATAGTTGATACTGAAAATAATTTTTTGATTTGAATGAACATGTATGGATGCATAACAGAGATTCTTATTGTTACTTCTTTATATGTTAACTTTAAAGTACTTAATTTATCTGGGCAAAGTGGATAACTTTAGGTTTCTCTGTTATGCATCCATACATGCTATTCTATTTTCATCTTTTTGAATTAAAAAATATTTAGATATGTTGGAAGTACAACTTCCAGAATGAGGAAGGCTTTTTAAATTCAACTCAGAGAGCTCTGTTGGACAATTCTTGATTTTAATATGTGCCTGGATTAATCAAGTCATGGCATTTTTGTTTGCTTGCTTGCTTGTTTAACTGAGGAGGGGTAGTGAATACTGTATAAAGTTGAAATTGTTGGCTAATGGTGGCTTATCTGAAAAAAAGAAATCTCAACTCCCACAAAAATTGCCACAGCAACATTTGTGTGTGAGACAGAAATCCAGCATTTTAAGGTGCATACACATGAGGAGTATTCAGGAGAGAAACAGCATAGAGGACTATGTCCCATAAGTAATTTCATCCATTTCCTTATTCAGATTTGGAGAAAATTTCTTTGGTGTTCCACTGAGTTTTCTGTGTCTTCCAAACCTTACCAGTTTTGATATGTGATCAGCACTGGGAAGAAGCCATAATGAAGTGCATGCTTGGGTTTCACTAAGATTCTCAGATTGAAAGGATCTTGGGTAACTGAAGGAAAGCACTACTGTAGACCTTGAAGAGCTACATTCACCATAAATTGGATGGATGGATCTATGGTTGAACCAGGCATAAGAATTTCATAGAGTGATGCAATTAAATTTAGGAGTGAGTGTTCTTGCTGAATTTAATATTCTTGGAAGTCATGAAAGGGAGTGGCTTACACTGATTTTTATTAAGGTAAAGTTTCTTTTGAGATTAGAACAACTCTTGAAAACTTCATGGATATATATGTAGAGTTTGCTTGACACTATTACAGAAGTAGCTTGCTATTACCTTGCTCATGAAACTGTAGAGATTTTCTGATAATCTCCTATATTCCTCCTCCTCCTCCTCCTCCTCCTCCTCCTCCTCCTCCTCCTCCTCCTCCTCCTCCTCCAATATCATTAATCCACATTTTATTGGAAGGGAAATGTCCTATTCATCATAGTGCAAATGGCCTGGACCATTGCAAAAACACTTGCCCTGCCAGCAACAATAATTTCATAGTTTCAAGATGTGTTGGCCTTTTGACAATCCGCAAAGTTGCCACATAATGTCTTTGCCATTTGTTCTCTCATTTAAAAAAAAGTACCCCACTTATTCAGAAACTAGTAGGATTGAGAGACAGATTGGTGGTAATAAAAACATGAAAAGAAGGGAAGAATGATGGTTCTCGCTCAGCTTCAGTGAAAAGAAAACACAAGAGATCTGGGCAAAACTCAAATTGTAGATGCCCACAGCTATTTCAAATGAGGAAACATGATGCCTTTCTCCATGCCCTTTGGCCAAGTCCCATCTGGCTCTGCTTTCCCCAGACTTCCCCAATTGAACTGACAGACAGCTTGCAATTCTCTAGGAATATTAATCAGATATTCCCCAACCCTTCAACCTCATGGCACTAGGAAGAGAGTGGAATTGGAAGCTGGGAGAAAGGATTGCTTTGACTATGAAGATCCCTCTCCTTCGAACAGCTGCATTAACAAGGCTAGCATGAAAGTGTAAAGGAAAAAGAAAAAAATCCTAGTTCAGATGCAGGTATGCCTAAATAATGCTCATATATTCTTGGAAAGCTAAGGTGGGATAGACGTATTTGAATATGGTTTGGTAATGTATCTTTTGAAAGTAGGACTGGTGTGGATGTAGTTAAGAAAGAGAGAGGGAGAGAAAGCAGCACCATAATTTGTACTTCTATTTATATGGAATGAAATTGGCACAAAGTTAAAATTTAGCACTCTTTGCCTTTTTCTTAGTTTTTCGAACTGCATTTAGACAAATTTGGATTTTAAAATTCAACCATAAACAGAATCTGTTTATGTGAGGTAATAGCAATAGCACTTAGACTTATATACCGCTTCACAGTGCTAATGATATCCCAAACCACATCAAACGCCAACAAATTCATAACTTGGAATAGGGAAAGAAGAGGGGGGAAATGAGAAAGGCTTACTGTTTAATTGCAAATGTAATTAAGCTACCAAATGTTGAGCAAAACATTCAAGTTGGTGGTTTTCCATAACAATGAATTAAAATCAATGTATGTTTACAGTAAAGGGATATGAAAAGTTCTTAATTTCATTCTCTAGTTTTTGCAAATAGAGTTGGGCATGACTCTTGGACAGAACATTGACAAAGCTATAATCAATCATGGGAGTATGAGGGTTCAATGCAGCTGTATTTGACATGGTAGCTTTCTGTTTGGAGTTTAAATTCTTTCTATTGAATTAGAACTTGTGTTCTTAAAACATGCTCTTAGTAAGCATCAACTAACACTGGAGATAAACTGTACATCAGTATTGTTCAGCTGCCTCCCAGGACTATTAAGAAAAATGGCCAAATATCTTTAACTCTAAAAAGTAGGAGGAAAAAGAGTTTAGCTCTGGTGAATAAAATCTACACAGAAAGTTTGATTTATTTGTCCTGTCGAAAGACAAATCATCTGCTATATATATGAAAGCTTCTTGACTGCAATAAAGATTCCAATCTAGCTATATTGTGCCTTTAAGATTAAAATTAAGATTGCTGAAAATGGAGTTATTTATTTGCTCACGTGTCAAGTGACTCTAGAAACAGGGACTTTTGAAAACCAGGTTGTCTGACATAGCCTAAGGATAGGGCTACTGTCCCGAGTGACAGACAAAATATTCTAAAATCACTCTGGATAGATTGGGTTAATTTGTTGAGTTTTAGTAAGTGACTTAGCTCCTTGCTGATATTCAAGTACAGAATAAAATATAATCACAAAAACTACCGTGTTGGTTTTCATTACTTGTTTTTTCCCCCTCTGTGTGTGTGTATGTGTACACACATACACACACGTTTTTACCCCGTTGCTTTTTTGCTGAGCCACAGCAGACACATTCATTTTTGAATCTGTCTTTTTACTAATTTTAAGATTTTATTTTGCTTCAGTGTATTATAAACTTTTATTATAAACATTCATTCATTTGCTCATTGATTCAAAGCAAAGAAGTGCAAACTATACAAAAGGTAGCTTTTTGGCGTTAATAAAATAGGTTCGTTTTCATCCTATACGTATATATATATATATATATAAAAAAAGTCTCCCTATTCTTAGATACCTTAATCCTATATTATTTGTGTGGCTCTTTGTATCTGCTAACGGCCCATTATACCGATTCAGTTGGTATAAGCTGAGATTGTTAGTATTGTACCAGTTCCCCTGCAGCATAGCAACCTCCTGTGAGCTCCTGGAATCCATGCCATGAGTTGACAGTGATGTTCCCAAAGCTAATGAACCTAAGAACTTCAAATGACCTTCCCCAGGTCAGAATTTGAAGCAGTTCAGGACTTCCTGGTCACACCCAAACCCAGGTCACACATTGACTGATGTGGTTTTCTTCTCAGAGCAGTGTCAACATGATCTGGAATTGGAAGAAGCTTCCCTTGCCTCCTGTCAGGTTTGGTTCACTCTCTGGTAGCGCTAAAGTTCTCTGGCACTCCCCTCCCTGCATTGTGGGGAAGGTGACTCTGTTTGATTGGCACCTCTAGGCACCTAATGGACCCTAGAAGGTTCAAGAGGGAGCCTGGGTTATTCCTGATGGTCTGCTGCATGGCCCAACTTGCTGCCTGGAATAAGATGGCAGCAGGGTCTGGGATCAGATCACACCATGTGGCCTCTTTTCACCTGTGAATTCTGAAAATCTCCTTGGTTTTCAGCAAATGGAGATGAAATGGGGTGGGTGAAGAAATAGCTACAGTACTTCTGGCAGCAATGAGGAGTGAACCCAACTCAGCAGAGTTAGAACTGCTACTAAGGCTTACCTCATGGTGGTAAGAACAGCAAAACATCGGTATTTCTCTGGTGTTATTGTGTCCAAGGATAGCCATTTAGTTTTTCAAGGTAACCCAGGCCCTCCTAGGAAGAGCTGGCTTGGAAGTTTACTTACAAGGTCCTTGTGAGGAATATGCTAAGCATCTGTCAAATGAAGCTGCTCAGATTTGCTTCAAGTCAGGCTCTAGGCTTGAAGCAGGTCCTATGGAGATGGCTGAGGCTCATTCTGACTTGATACTCTCAGAGGAATTTGCTGTTCCTGATGAAGTGGACATCAGGTTCTTGGGATTACTAGTTTGGCCACCTGTACATTAGATTCATATTTCTCTTGGTTGACTAAAGCTTCCTAGAAGGTGATGTATGGCTAATTCTGGTAGTGGTGAATTGATCCCTCAGAGAGGGATCCTTGCCATTCTTGACCTCTCAATGGCTCTCAGTACCATTGATCAGGGTATCCTGCTGGATCAGGAGGCAAGTGTTTGGAGGCTATGAGCAAGTAACATATTGTGAACTAGTTAGTTTCCTTCCTTCCTTCCTTCCTTCCTTCCTTCCTTCCTTCCTTCCTTCCTTCCTCCCTCCCTCCCTCCCTCCCTCCCTCCTTCC